CGCGAACCCAGGCAGGACTCGTGGCGGGGTCCCCGCCGCCCACCCGCGGGCCCTGCCGCCCAAACCCCGCTCCGTGGCCTGTCCCACCGACGCTTGCAGCGCGCCCTGCTCCTCTGGCCTGGGCCGCCAGCCCAGGACCTGACCCTGCCCCAACTCAAAGCAAAAGTTGCTCTGTACCGCCCCTTCTGCAGGTAGGGGCGAACCCGCCGCCCAAGGACCTTTTGCCGCCTGCGTAGCCGCTTTTCAAACGCCCGGGCAGCCGCAGCGGCCGCCGCCGCGCCCTGCTTCCGCCTAGCAACCAGGCCCGCAGGCCCAGTGCCCCCGGGGAGCCTGGAGGACAAAGGGCGATAGAGACCAGGGCAATGTGGGATAGAACGCCCCTCAGCCCGCCTCGCCTCCCGCCCTTTTAAGCTCCGTTCCAGAGCCCTAGAGAGGACTAGCTCGATACCCCACAGCGCCCCCTGCTAGCCAGACTCAGAAAGGCGGGCAATTTGAGGAGGACTCCCTGCGCATGCGCATTACTGCTGCAAAGCTTCCCTGAGTCTGTACAGTTTGCTCTGGGGTTGATGATTGCAGCGTACTCTCTGCTTGGTGGCTCAGTCACAAACTGAGAAATATATTAATAAGAACTTTAAAAAAAGCAACCACCCTCTCTAGCTTAGTTCAGAAACGCAGTATTAAAACACTACTTAAAAAAATTAAATCACATAACTTAAGTCTGGACTCTAAAGTCCCGGAATTGTCTTTGCAGAGCCCCTCAAATTTCTGCCCTCTGAATATAAGTAGCGTCAATACGGTAATTGCGGTAACTGTTGGCGCTGACGTAAAATCTCAGAATTTCCTGTAGCTAGAAATTCCCCTAAAACAAAAACATTGTCACGTGGGCAGGGAAATTTAAAGGTATAGGTTGTTCCACTTATATGTTCAACCTTACCTTAGCAAAATCAAGACCAAAAGGAAGCAAGCCGTGGAAATGCTGCCAACTAACATTTTGCCCTTAAGTCTCCCAACTTCAGAGGTTTTTAGGAAAGATCAGAAATCTTTCGGAAGTTACCTAACTTGAAACCTAGATAACCAAGTCAATTGGAGCCATTTTTAACATTATGAACAGTTTTAGCATTCGTTTTGTAATGATTCTGAAAAATCATTACATTATTTTTAAAAAAATCATTACATTAATTTTTGAAAAACAAAAATAAATAACAATAATAGATTGGGGAAAAAAGCAGGGAAAAAAGCAGCAGAGGTGAGATATTAGGTTATTATGTATGAAATGTCTGTTTCCCGAAATACTAAGTTTGAACAGTTGTTACTCTGACATTTCACTTTTACACTTCTTGTTTTATTTTTATTGTGATGGTACATCCCCATTCTTTCTTTCTTTCTTTCTTTTTTTTTTTTTTTATTAAATCATCACTGTGTACATTAATGCAGTCATGGGGTACAATATGCTGGTTTTATGTACAGTTTGAAATATTTTCATCAAACTGGTAAGCATAGCCTTCATGGCATTTTCTTAGTTATCGTGTAAGACATTTATATTCTACATTTAGTAAATTTCACATGTACCTTTGTAAGATGCACCATAGGTGTGATCCCACCAATCACCTTCCCTTCACCCATCCTCCCCCCTCCCCTCCCCTCCCTTTCCCCATATTCTTGGGCTATCCTCATTCTTTCAAATGCATGTTTTGCCTTGTGATTATCTTTAGAGCAATTATTTGTGAAACCATGAAGAAGTCAAAAATTAATGTTTCCTTTGAACATCATAGTTTCATCATGTAGCCAAATGCAGTGCATACTGCTCAAAATGTCAAGGAAAGGTTTGGGAAGGATGTGGCTAATGAGTGCACAGCAGGTCTGTGGCTTGAGAGTTATTTTTAATTTTGAAAATGAGCCTCATGGGTTACCTGAGACCAAGGTGGACAATGATGGGCTGAAAGCTGTAATGGAAGCAACTCAGCCTACGTGTGAATAAGCAGCAAGTGTTGATGTTACAATGCCAACAACAGTGGACCATTTGAAATATATTGGCAAAGTAAAGAAACTGGACAGATGGGCTATGCATGAATTAAATGAGCATCAGAAGAGAAATCTCAAAGCTTGCTTTAGTGTCACAACATAAAGTTGAACCATTTCTATACAGTATTGTTGCGTGTGATAATAAATGGATTTTTTTTAATTTCACAAGCATTTGGCACAGTTGTTAATTGTTATGTAAAGGTGAGGTGGTGAAACATAGTCAAAAACAAAGTTCAGTAACAAAACTAATGGTGGTAGCGCCCGTAGCTCAGTTGGGTAGGGCGCCAGTCAAATACACTAAGGCTGGTGGGTTCGAACCCAGACCCAACCAGGTAAAACAACAATGACTAATGCAACAAAAAAATAGCCGGGATTTGTGGCAGGTGCCTGTAGTCCCAGCTACTTGGGAGGCTGAGGCAAGAGAATTGCTTAAGCCCAAGAGTTTGAGGTTGCTGTGAGCTGTGATGCAACAGCACTCTACTGAAGGTGACAAAGTGAAACTCTGTCTCAAAAAAAAAAAAAAAAACAACACAAAACTAATGGTGTCTGGTGGTCCAGAGTCAGTATCATCCACTACAGCTTCATGAAACCTGGTCAATCAATAACAATGGACGTCTACTGCAACCAACTGGACAAATAATAAAGGATGCTTGAGATTAAGCAGCCAAGATTGGTCAATAGAGATGGGCCAGTCCTCTTGCAAGACAGTATTCAACCACATGTTGCCCAAATAATGGTGCTCAAACTACAGAAGCTGGACTTGGAGACCATCTGTTACCTACCGTAATCACCAGACCTTGCACTAACTGACTACCCCGTTCAAGTTCTGAACCATTTGCTAAGAAAAATATTCACTTCCCAACAAGCTGCAGAAAACACCTTCCATGATTTCATCACCATTCACTAGGCTTCTTTGCTGCTGACGTAAACAAGCTACCATCAAGCTGGCAAAACTGTGTGGATAGTTTAGGCACATCCTTTGATTACTTATGCTGCTTTTTGTTCAGATGTCATCAACTAAACTTTTGATTTGAAATTGGACATTTCAGACTTACTGACCTTAATGAGACTGGTTTCTCTTGCTGTTTTTTTGTTCTGAAAACTTAGAAGGTTGTTCTTTTGAAAACAAATAATATATTTCTGGGCCTTGTTTTTTTTTTTTTTTTCTTTTTCTTTCTCTTTTGCCCAAAAGAAAAGGAGGAGTTTGTGGAAATTAAGCCACTTTATTTCAGGTGCCCTCAGAGGCATTGCCTAAAATGAGGCATTATTCAATCTAAAATCAAAGTAATGACCTGCTTTGGAGTCATTACTAAACAACACATTCTTTTGTAGATGTCAAACATGCTTAAAAGTAGACAATAATATGATGAACTCCTAGGTACTCAGAACCCAGCTTTAACAATTAGCAATCCAAGACCAGTCCTCTTCATCTGTTGTATTGTTTTGAGGGCTGTGTCCTAACACCACATCCTTTCGCCTTTCTCAATATGTATTTCTACGAGGTAAAGACCTTTTCAAAAAAATCTTAAAATATTAAATATTTAACCACAATTTCATTATTCTACCTAAAAAGTTAGCAATAATCCTCAATACCATTAAATATAAACTTCTCTGATTGTCTAGTAATTTGATTCAATGGACTTGGTCAACTCAGGGTCCAAGTAAGTTACAAAGTACAATGCGTTCAGTTGGTAAGTCTCTTGACTCATACATTTTGTTCCTTGCAATTCTTTATTAAAAAAACAGGTTGTGCATGCTGTCAAGTTTATCAGTCTAAATTTTATCAGTATAATGCAAATGTTGTTATTAAACATATCCTCTGTTAAGAGGTCTAATAAATACATTCACCCGAACAACACTTAAAGGCGATTCAAAAGGCAAATCAACAACAACAAAGTACGTTATTAGTGGTACAAAACAGTAAACTCTGAGAGTTTAACATTAAACTCTTTCAGGGGTGTCCAACCTGTGGCCTGTAGGCCACATGCAAATTATGTGAAGACTAGTTTGCTTATCTGTGGGGTCAGATATTGCAAAATGTATGCATGGACCTTTTTTTTGCTCATCAACTTGTGTTCGGGTTTGTGTATTTAACAAATGGCCCAAGACTACTCTTCTTCCAAAGTGGGGCAGAGAAGAAAAAAGGTTGGACACCCCTGCAGGTGGCAAAAGGAGTCCCAGGCAATGAGACGAAGTTCCTCCTATGGAAAGCATACCTCAGCTTAGAGTGAGGGACCCACCTCTGCCATTTCCATTTTCTGCATATGGATGACTTTAGGCAAATTACTTTACCTCTTTGAGCCTTGGTTTCAGTTATAAAGTGATAGTATGATTCCTTAGTATAGAACTTAAAATGGCAGCAAAGGTCATTTGGTTATTATCTTTTTATCTGAATGGTGTCAGGCCTTCCGTAGTAACTATAAAAGACCCAGAAACTGCCCACCAATGTATCTGTTTGTTTTGCTTTGGGGCACCCAGCTTAAAACCTAGATTACAAACCCTTGCTATGTTAGAGAAGAGTCTTAGGTCCTAAAAATTTTGATAAATTGTTAAAATTACCTAAGAAAGTTTTTCACATGGTGAAAACTTTACATAGTTTGGCTTTTCCTCCCAAACGGCATTACTACTTCTAAAATCACCTCCTCATGGCTACTGAAAAGTCACCACATTAGTAGACCTGGGGCTTTTTAAAACAGAGTGTACAAAGTTAATGATACAAAATTGTTTATCTACAAATGGAATTATAATCCCATCCCCATCTATATCTGTCATTTCATAATCTACTTTCCTTTTATATGTGATGTGAAATGGTAGTAATTTCAATTCTAGCATAAATCATCACATTTAAGCTTAAATGCATGAGCGAAATCTTATTGTATGTTTATGAAGTACCGGCTACTATTTTTAAAATACGTAAGTAAATGCTAATAATGTATATAATTTTCATCTTTAGACAAAGTAAGACTTATTACACTGTAAGTATATAAGCATGAAAATTCAAACTGACAAGTTTGATTAAAGGCTTGATTCTGAATCCATCAATTGTCAATCTAATAGCTAATCATACTAGGTAGCCTTCTATTGCTACGAATGTCTACCAAAAAGGAACAAAATAAGGCATTTTGATTCATTTTTAGCTTTTTTTTGTCTGTGGCTATTTCACATGTTGGAAAACTCTTTAATTCTTCTCCACATTTTGTTGTCCTTCCAACAACTTCTGCAGCCCCCCTCAGGAGCAATCAGGAGCTCTACTTCCCTTCTTCAGCCCCTTCTGCCGT